TAAATCCACTCAGAATACTGAATGTCCAAATGTAAAATTCTGTTAAACCAAACATTGGAAACAGCAATTCTCGAGCAGTACGGTTAGAATTTGGTCAACCCAAACATTTATTGTAAGTAGCATTCACAAAATTTTTTTTTTCTGCGTTTGAGGTTGAAGCAGAATACTTCAAAAAGATGTGCAATTTTTTCTACGTGAGACCATATACGAATTAGAGAGCAATAGTAAAATGTGCAAAATGTTATTTAAAGGTGACGCTGAGCTTTTCATCTTTGAACAGTAGCGGTCTGAAATTGGCAGGAAAAGCACTTGCCATGTCCGCGTATATACGTGTAGGGGGTTTCCGTTGGTCGGCTTTGTCCCTGCTTTTCAGAAACAGAGTACCGTTGTTCATAATAAAGGAATTCCCAGAACAAAGTCCGAAGTTCGTCTGTATAGCATAAGGGTAAGTTTTGGAAATAAAATTAACTTAAAGAGCAGAAAGAAAAAGGAGATCAACGAGAGTAGTCAAGGTGTTCAATAAAGTAAATTTAATCATATTAACTTAACGTGTAAATAAAGTTGTATAAGATAGCTGAATGAATCGGGAATAAATTGATTTTACATATATATTTTTTAAATTTTAAACATCAGAAAGAAAGAATGAAAGAAAAGTTTGTGAAAAGTTGACATTGAAACTCATCTCCAAATGAAAACACATTATTGGAAATTAAAACTTAAGCTTAAGTAAAAACCTATCATTAAAACTGGAAATTAATGCTCAAATTCAACTAAGCAAACGTCTTACCAAAAATAATAATAAAAAACTTATTGCTACTAAGAATATTTTATTAAAAATTGCTTATGTTGAAACTTAAACCTAATAAAAGCACGTTATAACTAAAATCAGTGGGTTTTTAAAAGCTGGGATGTATACCTAAGAAGAAGAACCTGAAAATATTAGTGTCAAAAAAGTGGCTTCATCCGAAAAAAGACATATGAAAGGGGTTATAAAATGAAAGAAACCACAAGATGGCGTCAATATGCAACGGAAAGCAATAAGAGACGGCATTATGAAGCGAAAGCAATGAAACGGAGGGCCACGGCAACTAAGAAATAAATTAACAATCACAGCAAGTAGGAAATAAATCACATTAGATTTAAGAAGCAGTAATAGAAAAAAAAGAAAAGAAAATAACAAATATCATGAACTAAATATATAATAGGCGTCGCAATGATTAACTATATGTGTGTGTGCCTGTGTGCGCAGGAATGTTGCCAATGTAGACAATGACGTAAGTGACCAATAGGTACGTAGGTGTAGACTAACGGACAAAAGACCAATACTAACGCGCTCTGAGACTGTTAGATAAGACAAGCCGTTAGTTATTTATCATTTTTATATGTAAAAATTTTCCCTCATTTGTAGTGTAACTGGGTTAGCCAGGCGGTACAAAATAAAACACAAGCTTTACACACCATCATAAAATGGCGCCCGATGCAAACCCAAAAGAAGAGGAACTTAGATCCTCAATATAATTTACGTTTTTGTTTGATTTATACATAATTTTTTTAATATATGGTGGTTGCTCGAGCATCACAGAGTGACGCGTCGCTACGATAAACCGAGACGGCAAATTCTTCTCATTGAAAATTCGTCTAACTTATTTAAATTTAATTAGCATAATATTTAATTATACTAAAAACCTCTTTTCTATTTCAATGTATAGTTGTGTACATTCATGAATCCATATATATATATATATATATATCGCGACTCGTAAATAAATAAACTTTAAAATAAAAGAACTTTGAAGTTTATTTCTCTTGAACAAAATATCCACGGTCCAGTGATGTGGACTGTATCTTAGTAAAGCGAATTTTATAACAATATGTTAGTCGCTAAGCAACTCTCCTTTACAAAATGTAGCCCCATGCAAAGGAAAGAAAAAAATGGAAGGATTTGACTACCAAGAGACTATACGTTCTTGGGGTTAAGAGGATATATGTCAATCGAGCAGCAGTACCATGAGACCTTCACGACTAAGGTTCGTGTGCGAATGGTGAATGCTCTTAGTAGGGTTCTTGAATAGTACACACACTAAATTCGTGAATTGAAAACATGATAAAGTTTGACTGTTCAAAAGTAAACATTTTTTTTTGGAGTAATTTATCAAACGGAACAAAATTTCTTATAACTCACGGTGTTGCATCCGCATTATGCTTCATCTAACCGGAAACGAAAGAAACAAAACAAAAGAAGAAAATTTTTTATTATATTATATTTAAAATTTTATTGTAAAAAAGAAAAAATTGCATAATTAGATACACAGTTTCGTTTTAAGAAATTATAAAACTATATTTGCAATTGCAATCTAAAAATTGGCAAAACTACGCTTATAATTCCATTTTAAATGAAATTATACTTATATTCATAAGTTTATTTTAAAAAAACAATTTTTTCTTTACAAATCGTATGTGTTATTGCCATTTTAGAGAAAAAAACATTTATAAAGGAGTTACCAAACTATAATTACACTACTGCTTGGTTGATCTCTACATCTTTCGCGTAAAAGTTTTTCTTTTGCTTGTTTGTCTCGCGCACAGTTGCGGAAAATATAAAACACAGAGTATCACTGTTTCCTTTTGAAATGTCAATACTTCTTAAAGGTAAATAAGAATCGTTTCCCAACTCGTCTCAACTCTATTGACATCACCTGGCGAGATGTTCCTATTTTTGAGTTTTGGGGTATTTTTACCTCACCATTCTCAGATATTAGTACAGTTTAAATGTTCCGAATTGCTGTTTCCTGCCCTGGATTTGATTAAATATATTTAGAATAATTTGTCAATAGATTCTAATTTACATCAATTACATATTAAGAATTCAGTTAGTGTGTTATTAGATTTCGTACAAGTTGCATTTTTGGTAATCCAAAATTTTGAATGAATTATAACACCAACAATGATAATTCTACACATTCAATTAATACAAGACTGGAGACCCGCTTTGATCAAGTTTTTTCATGCTTTCAACTCAGACAAGAAAATATTACGGAGGAGGATTCTGTTGATAGCTATTTGGCTGAAAATTTTGAAAGTTTCATAAATAGCTTGGACAACAAGATGCTAAACAGAGATATACCAAATAATACTGGCAAATCATGTGAAAATACCATAGAAGGAGGTAATATTAGTAGTAACCAGGCAGAAGCCAAAAATGCAAATCAACAACTGGTGGACATACTGAAACAACAAAATAAAGCATCGTTGAGTTATATGCAGGAAATTGAAAATTTAAAATAAGAATGTTACACTGAAATCAGGCAAAGTCAAACAGGGGATGCCGAAGATACGCAAAAGTTTAGGATTTCAGCAGCAACATCTACACCCAATCGGGATGTTCTTTCCCATGCAGGAGGACACCGAAACGGCAGTGTTAAGTTTGCTTAGCAACAACAAGAGGCAGAGGCTCGTATAAGTTGTGATGAAAGCACGCGTAAGCGAAACGATGATTTAAATCGCTGGCATTTAAAATTTGATATATCTGGCAAAGGTATCGCAATCGTAAGTTTTATCTTTAGGGTTGAACGTTTGAGAGAATATTATCAGATAAGTTATGACGAGTTATTCGCTGAATTTCATTGTTTAGTAACATAAAACACAAATAAGTGGTATTGGCTATTACTAGAGAACCATGAAGGGGGTGCCACTTTCGACTATTTTTTGCTCAAAGGAGAGCTGTTAGATCAGTTTAAGGCGGCAGACTCAGACTGCAAGTTAATTAATGTAAACAACAGCCGGCGTGTGTTTCGAAAATTATTATGGGAAAATCCACGACCTAACTTCAAGGATGGGAAGAAAAATTCCTGAACAGGAGTTGAGTAAAACCGTCAAATAAAATGTTAAACCAAGTTTGGCGACTCTTATCTTCGCAATCAAAATAGAAAATATCGCTCAAAGCTGAGCGTAAAAGGGCAGAAAAGGTGCTCTGAGAAAACAAGATCAGGACCAGACACGTCAATGAAGTTACTCGGGAAGCTAATAGTATCCGTGCCACCAGAAATGGAACGATTGAAGCTCGAAACAGCAAGCTTATCGATACACTGGAAAAATCTAGTGGTACTGATAAAATCGACAGAGGGCGAATTAACACGCATAATATGAGCAAAAATAATGTGTATTGACACCCATTCCAACCTATTATATCGCTAGTAGGACAGCCAGAAAGCAGCCGCAAATGGTCGCGCTAACTATACAGTCAGCAGTAATCCCTTAGAAGTAAAAACTATAGAAACTTTTAAAAGAATGTGATATCTGCAATTATCACTCAAGAACATGACAATAGATTATTTGCCAAAATGAAGAACCCTAATGTCGAAGTAACAATCTTATTAGATACAGGAGCTAGCGCTAGTTGTTGTGTGGCAGGAGCAGGAAAAGTTTTGAAACAGGGAATCAACATGGAAGAACGGCTAATGGAAGTAAAATACCTGCAACGGGGGTTGAGTGGGAAGGAGAAGTTAGAGATATTGATATTCTAATCATGCCGGATCTGCGACAAGAATTTTTCTTTGGAATAGACTTCTGGAAAACATTTGGTTTATCCGTCGTTACTACATCAGGTGACACAAAATCTTCATATAATTGGGTTGCCTTGGAGTCTACATATAGAGAAAACGTCAAAACAGATATCTATTTGAACTGAAGTAATCGAAGAAAGCAACCTTCGATTTGAAAGACGCCCTTTGGCATCTTCCATTGGAAAAACATTCACGAAAGAAAACTTTTACTCTACTGTCATCGAAAATTATAGAGTGTGAGAACATTACACCAATTTTTTTAAGCTAGGGCTTCTAAAAAATCAAGACGAGGTTTTGTCGATTTTCAGCTTCTTATCTTTGTTTTTGGGACTGCGGCGGTTCCAAAAACATTGCGGCTCATATTGATCTCATTAAGTATAAACAAATACGTATGAAACGTCGATAGTTCTAACGTTAACAAATCTTTTCATGAAAACGAAGTCGAAATGTAAGAAGCGTGGGACACTACCATTCTTAAAAGAGACTGATGATGAGTAAAGCACAATTTCGCAAAAAGTAAGTTTTTTGTTTTTCAGTCCCGCAAAACATTGACCGAAGTAATGTGTGTTTAAATTTGAAAATAACCTCACGCTTAGCTTATACATTCCAGTAGAAACTGCATCTATTGAACTGAACTAAAGGATAAATAGATGCGTTTTCAATTCAGAAAGAAATTGATAATTTTCGAATACTAATTTTCTTTTTATTTATCTTCATTGCGAAGTAAAAATAAATAATATAAATAGACTGTACAAAATCGGTTTATTTACTTTATTTATATGCGATATTTTATATAAATTCAGCTAAAAAAGTTCCACATAATTATTATGGAAATAAGACAAAAGAAAAGGCTGTTTCATTACGATCGAATGAAAATTCTTTTCACATATGATATATAATAATAGAAAAATTTTATGCTACGAGGTGAGTAGTCCATTGTTGCTAACATCTTTACTGGAATTATTACTTAGTGGCAGTTCATAAGCAATTCCACCCCAATGAAGCTTGTAAGTCCGAGCACGCCACTGTATGTTTGGACTCCAGAGGGCATGGAGAAACAGGTATGGCCCACTCATTTCGCGAAACAACCAACCGATTACGAATTCAAACTTGTGAAATGGTAAAGAACCATTCTGAAAATATATCCTTTAATATCAAACGATTTAATATTTATGTTACGTATTTACCTGCACCGTACACAGCATTAGCCAGTCCGATAGGAGCCAAGTTAATATGTGAACCAAATAAAATACCAAAGGGTCCCATTTAAAAATCAATGAAGCAGACCACGATGTCAATGCTCCTAAAACCATACACTCAGATAACGGTTCCAGCAAGATCGTACTAGGCACCATCGCGACTCGTAATTTAGCCCATCGTATCAGGCGAGCCTGAAAACTGCTAATATCGCAGATTCCGCTATTTTGCATAGCCGGTTGACTACTTATACGCATTTTCCAACCATGTTCTATTACAGCTTTTGCTATAAAAAAATCTTCAGCCAAATAGCAGCCAAATGTTTTTAAACCACCCAATTCATCTATAACGGATTTGCGGAGTAAGCACGACATGCCTGTATGGCAGTTTATACTTAATAAGTCTGCTGACAAGTATATTCTAGACTGTACAGTACCAAAAAATATCTAGAAAATCATGTGCTTAAAAATCAATTTGCAAATGCTATGGCACGGAAAATTTTATCTCACTTTTTCAAATGTAGCAGCAAATCCTTCCCGATCGCAAGTAAATGGCATCTGATGTATCAACGCGTATTTTTCGCCCATACTATACACCATATCTAATAAAGTATCGCTTTTCACTGGAATTTTAAATAATTTGAAAATATTTCCCATGTTATAACATTGTTTGATTATATATTAATTGTTCAAAGACGCTTATAACATATGTAACGTTGACGTAATTTGTACTTAATAAATTATTGCGAAAAAATGAATTAAGTTTTATATTTTTACCCTGCACATATTTGGGAGCGGACTCAATTGAATTGCTTCATGAAGCATAACCTTTCTTCGAACAAACACAGTAGATTAGGAACTTTAACGCTCGCTTTTTACATCAAAATCCTTGCATACAGAATGTCAATTCAATTATAATAAAATAGGATATAACACATTGCAAATCGAGCCAAACTACAAAGCAATAGAAACCCTCTTATCAAACAATGATTTTTCAAATCAAGCACCTAAAATCGTTTTCAACTTAATGTTCATAATGGTTTAACACTCTAAATCGACTATATGGCGCCATTCTCTTCCTGAGACCTGAACGTAACAACAATCAAAACATATAAAATTTCAAATATAGTTTTAGCATCTGAAGACGCAATGTCTTCCTCTATTAAAAAAACTAAGATCCGCAGCGTATTAATCGTTGAAAATAAACCATGGTAAATTCCTTACTTAGGATAAGCGATAACATTATAAGGTTAGCGACTGACAAACATGAAAAAAGTCCATTGGAAAAATCAAAATGTATTCCGAAAAACAATGTAAAGAAAACTAATGCAATAGGTCAGCAGAGCTTAAAAGTGCTCATAATAGTGTTACAGCTCTCACTAATTCAACTTTGCACATCCTGCCTGTTTTGACTATTTTAGGCGGTGGAATGCAGCCCACCAACGACAATGAAGAGATAAGCTCTATATGTTTCAGCTAATATAACTGTACTAAAATCAATAAATAACAATAAATTTATCGTTACCAAACGGAGTACCTAACTAGGCTGTTAGAAAGAAAACTATGACCACTTGGATATATATTTTAAATGTGTTTTTCAACCACTATAAAAACATATAACATTGTCCACGTTTTTGAAAAGCTGTTATTACTTTTCCCATGCAGAAAGTAAATGTAGGCTCAAAACAAACTTACTTCGGCAGACCGATTTCTATTCTGAATATAATAATAATAAAAGGTTGACAAACTACTTAAATATTTTGGTTTTCAACGGTCAGAGTCAAATCACGTTTTCACAACTGTAAATAATTGTTTAATACAATGAGTCAGCTCCCGCAGTGATCCAATAGAAGTAAGGTTGTGTACTACCAAAGGCTTCGGCATTGTTTGCCAAAATGGAATATTGCTGCTATCGTACGCTTTTGAGAATAATTTATACCATTTAATTGAGCAAATTTTTCATTGAGCTTACATTTCATGTTAAATTTTATAGTGTTTCGGGAATGAATAACGACAATAACGCTGTTAGTTAGCGGCCAGTTGACAGCTTGCTCTTTCATTCTCATTATTTGCAAGGGCAAAAATTACGCTAATAGTTTCTTGATATGAGGTCACATTCACTCAAATATGTATATACTAATCTGTGTTTCAAATGAATATGCAGTATGATATACATTCATTCGTTCTTGAACTGCAGTATACTCATATCGCAATTGCAACCCAACTTGAAAACTCTAAACGAAATAAAGTCAACATGAAAAGCAAGTAGTTACTCGTTATCTTATAACATATTAAAGTAGAAATCTTGTTTTTAATTGAATACCAAACAAATAGGTTTTTTTCTTAATGAAACAAAAGATGATTATACACAGTGTTACAATTTATTACAAAGCAAATCGAAGCTCAATGGTTATTTGAGGCATCCGTCAATTAACACAGTTTCGAGCAATAGCCGTTCGTTTCGGGCTAAATTGTAATAAGAAAAAATTAAAAACACCTTACTTTTCTATTTTTTTTGGAGATACCTCATCGTAATTGCAACAACTTCATTATTATAGGCCTGACTCAAACCTATTGTATTAAAATAAACGTAACTAAATGTGGAACGTATAACATTGTACCTCTCTTTATTGTAGTTGACATTTAACTGAAATAAAGAATTTTCAGAAATCATGGACAGCGGTCCTGCACCAAAGGTCATATATTAGAAATTTGACAAAAAAAAATGCTTAATGAAACTATATGTATAGCGGTAAGTCGTCGTTGCATGGTGTTTTCGCCTTGAAATTTACTATGGGTCGGGGAAAATACAAAGGTTCAGAGTTTTTCCTTGATTTAACTGGATTTACTAAGGGCATGCTGTGCGTCTTGCATTTTAAATCTATTTCAAAATAACTTTTCTTTTTCTTAACAAGAAGTTTCATGCTTTTGCAGAAAAATCGAAAAAATCATCCATCATTTAGTGGATAGAAGAATTAAAATTTGTTATGCTTTTGGCAAGAAGTAATGAATTTGGCAGAAATCATCTCAGTGCAATAAATCAATACTTCTTTAAAGCTGAATTATATCATGTAAAAATTTCACAGTAAAAAACGTGCTTATTGTTTTAGTGCCATAGTAGCTCCAATTAAATGAGTTATCTGGAACGTAATTTAAGAGGAGAACAGTGTGATGTACAGGTTTGTGAAGTGCATAGTTATAACGTTCGCATAAGTAAAGTAAAGATGGCCCATTTTCATACTTTTGTTATTGAGGTTGTCTAAAGAGCAATGGTCACTTCAATTATGATAGCGGGAAACGGTTAATATAATTCTTTTTAAATTTTCTTATTTTATTATCGCTAGGCAAAAACCCGTTAAAGTAGCAAGCGAACGAATACACAGGAGAAGACACAAGAATCCGTCTGGGTTGAAATAAGCTTAAGTACAATTGTAAAGCGGCAGGGGGATACAGTTTATATATATTTTTTTTACGAAACGGTTATTATGCGTTAAGCCAGAAATGGAATGTAATTACATGAATAAAATAAGAACTGAAAAGCTGGTCAGATTAAGCCGTCTAAGTTGAACTAAGCGAAAATTGCTGCCTCTACACGTATATTTTTAGAGATGCTGTTCTGAAATTTTAATTTTCTGTTTTAAAAAAAGATGATATATAGATTAGTAAAAAAAATTTCTTAGAAGTAAAATAGCGAAAGCGTCCAACCGTGAAATGTCTAACCACCTACATTCCAACTATTTGGCATTAATAGCTCCAGCAACGGCAGCGATAACCGAATGTTTATCATTATCATCCTAAAGAAAGGCAAACGGACAAAGAGGGCATCCCCGAATAAGGATCTAAAAATTCCAGAAACCTTATCCGTTCATGGATATGTTTAATTTTGGTAATAGGTTGACATGTAATTAAAAATGAACAGTGAATAGATCACTACAAATAGCAACGAAACGTAGCGCACCAGCGGGGACTGTTTGTTACAAGTGATTTACGCTGCGCTTTGTTATTGTATCTAATCCGTATTTTGTTCAGTTTGTTTTTCCGGATAATATGCTTCTTCAGCACTATGTGAATTGGCCGCGGTTGCGGCACAATTTTTGCTTAGCGGCAGATTCACTGTAAGCAAAATGATTACTCCAAATCCAAACGTTTGCAGCGTCGCTCATAATGCTCTATATAATTTGACAATTGGGTATTCTGACATCATAAAACACTTTATCACAACCATTTAAGACCTTTTGCAATTGTCATCACTCTTCTCTCACATAGTTTCGATGAAACGCATTTTCTCAAAATGTGTTTTAAGTTGTTCATTGAACGTAACGAATGAGTTGTTTATATGTTGGCTAATTAAATTTAACATGCAGGCATGTCTGAGTAGCGTCTTATAATAATTATAAGAAAATGTGTATATACAAGTGATGGACAGAGTGGAATTTCAGGGTTACTACTTCTCACATCACTTCTTCAAGTACAATGTAATCTCTATGAACGACTGCATTTTCTTTTATGTCTCTGCAAAAGGGGAATTATATCGATTGGTGTTAACGCAGCGTAGCTTAGTCAAACGTAAAAAAACAAAAATAAAAAAAAGAATTGGCATACATATGCCCGTTCGTTGGTAATTTTCGTGATACGTTGAACATATTGGCCGTGTTTTCATTTGTATTTGTTGTGAGTTTAAATGCTAAATCAGTATTCTCCTTTATTACATTTTTTTAAGCAATGAAACAAGAGCTTAAGAATTCCTAAAATAACAAACTCCTTTTAAGCAATAAAAAAAAATCAGAAGCTTCAGAAGGAAACACATCGAGAGCACACAATGCAAAAAGCACATTTTACACACACAAGGTGCGCTCTCCAATAACGGTGAAACTCTGATGAGCAGAAAATAGCCTGAGCGACCAGTTTATAAAATCTTGACGGTAGCAATAAAATTAACAATAAAGTAAACAGTAATCGTCAAATAAACCAACAGGTCACTATTGCCACCAAAAATTAAGGCTCAGACAGCAATAAGAACTTATGCAATTAAGGTGAATTTGAGAATTTTATTACGTTTGTGCGCGAGCCAATAACCTTATCGAAAAGAGGCTCACGTTACATTTTGTATATATGCTTTCAAATAATGTATGATTATTTATAGGCTTGTATGTATGAATGTTTATAGGGCTTCTATGGTAGAATAATTAAATGTGTTGAATATTTGTACACGCTAGAGTGTTAATTATGTATAAAAGCCTGACGATCGAAGTGTTAAAATCAGATTGTAGTATTGTATCCAATCGCACACCAGCAAACGAGCTTTCGTTAGCTCTTGCTCCTTAAATTACATATTGTATCGAGATCTCATTTAATTTTACTTAAATTAAATACCTACTATCATTCCCAATCTTTTATTTTGGGCAAAATATGATCTTTATTAAAAACGGACTATTTGTGGCGATCCTGGCCCATCGTAGGGACTTTCTGAGTAAATTGCCAAACATTGCCACTGATCTTCTGATTCAATTGTCAAATACGGCTGCCAAATTGTACTGATCTTCTGATTTAATTGTCAAATACTGCCGCCAAATTGTACTGATCTTCTGAGCCAACTGCCAATTACCGCCGAAAATATTTTGAT